TGGGAAAATGCTCCCACACCCATCCCTCCCCCTCCCCACCACCCTTTCCCTGTTTATTCATTTCATTATGGAAAATTTATAAAATTGTGATAAGTAGTTAAATGCTATTGTAAATTGAAATTCTGACATCATCTGATACAGAGAGAGTGGGGTTTGTGGGGGTGGAAAATGCCATGGCTAAGAAATAGTGTTATAAGTTATTAAAATCTTCTCCAACATATGTTTTTCATTCAAGCTTTATAATTGGATCTAAGCTTAAATGCTTTGAGAATTTGAAGTACCAACATCTAAAGAGAGTGTTTAATTTTCTATAGAAGGGCATTCAAAATACAAGGGCTAAGGCATTTGAACTAAAATCTTTTCAAATATATGTTTTTTTTTATTCCATATACTTTATGAAGCATAATAATTATATCATGTAGCTTGAATGCTTTTAACTACTATCTTAATTGACTAGGATTGTAAGTTTTCCTGCAGAAGGTCATGATTCTCTCCAGGCACTCTGGCTTCCTCCACCAATAAGAACTTGACCGCCACAATCTAGCCAATAGTGCTGATAGTGGCGTTAAACACTAACAATCAATAATTAAATGATTTGATAATTTGAAATTCTGATAACTTAATTACAGAAGAAAAATTACTCTTGTTGGTAAAATTTTTAAAACATTATGGTTAAATAAGGTAGCTTAGCTTTGAAAATCGGAAAAACAGAAGGGAAATAACTCTTGTCAGTACATTTTATATTTTTTTCAAATTAAGCTATTTTTGTTAACTAGTCTCACATATTCTGTGTACTAAAAACACATTTTAGTACACAGAATATATCTGGCTGAAATTTACTTCTAAATCCTGTTGGATGTTAATTATTTTGAAAATATTAAGAAATATTGTAGTATTTACACACCTTATTGAGTTCGCAATAAAAAATTGCCATTTATTTTCACACTGCATGATTTGGGCATGTTTTACGCATGATTGTTATACAATCATTATAAATTTTGGCAGCGAATTGTTGGCTTTCATTGACATAAGGGGAGAAGAGTTTGCACATCTTTACAGCAGCTTAGGATGATTATATTATTAGATTAAGTTACAGTTTAAAGTTGTATACATAAGTTATATTACTACAATTTCATGGATATGAAAATTAATTAACAAAACATTTCCAACTTACACTGAATTTATACTTATTATCCAAATTTACATATACAGTCGACTCTTGTTATCTCGAAGTCAGCCGGACCAGAGAAATTTTTTAAATACCCGTAGTTCGACTCAAACGAAAACCGGAAGTTTAACAGACCAAGGGACACAACTCTTGCTTACCTTGGTAAATAAATCCGGATGAATATGGGAACGGGATCGATATTCTGGTCTCATATCGATGGATTTGTATGTTATGGTCTTTCATTATTATAATAACATTGTTTTCACTTATTTAATTATTTCTTTGAACAGTTACAATTTTTTCCTGTGGCTTTTATCCGAGAGAGTAATTTCCAATCGATCTTGGCGTTATTTAAGTCATTTAAATTTGACAAAATTGTTTATTCTCGGATACAAGAGATTTTATAAATTTAGATTTATTTTTATTTTATTTTCTTTTATCTCAATCTTTCTTTTAAAGAAAAACTACAAAAAGATAAAAGACACTGGTTGAGTAGTTTTTATGTGATCACCAACGGAAGTCTTAATCCCCACTTTATACACATCCAAGCTCATCAGTGTAAATCACGATTAATTTAATTATTTTTTTTTGTAAACATTTTAAATAATTTTTCATAAACTTTAACAATGTATCACTAATTATTTATCATGGTGATAAAAGATAATCTTAGGTAAACACTCGTGGAAATAGAATGTCATAAACCAATACCTTGGTCAGTGACCGGAAATTTAATTACACGTGTCAGATTAACTCTTCAATCCATTTAAATCCCGGAGGTCATGTTTTGACATATGTGTATTAGTTCGAGATAAATAATGAATTTTGAATGCTTTTGTTAACCTTGGAACTGTAAATTTAGTTCGACTCAACCGAAATTTCGACTCATCCAATTTTGACTCATCAGGAGTCGAAATACATATATTTATATGGAACAAAGTTGGGGACCACGAGAAAATTTCGACTCATCCGAAATTTCGAGTCAACCGAGTTCGAGACAACGAGAGTTAACTGTAATTGGGTTCAAAATACCTTGATTATTGTTAAGATCCTGCTCCACATGTGGCACCCGTCGATCAAAATACCATGGCTAAGATTTGCAAATTTGCAAATTGCCTCAGCTACTGTGGATTCATTTATTTTCGTGGGTACCAATTTTCGTGGAATAAGGAAAACTTGCATTTTCGAGGATATTTGATTTCGTGGTTTTGCTAAAATCTGTATACAACCATATAGAAAATTTATAATTCGTTGAACATCTAAATTCGTGGTTCACCTGCACCAATGAAATCCACGAAAATTGGTATCCAACGAATATTAATGAATTCACAGTACTCAAATACTTTATATAGTAATTATCCTCCAAGAATTATTTGATATGAATGAAAAATGCTGGACAAGATGATTTAATATTTTTACTCAACTATGGTATTTTGACCCCATACCATAAGCATGGAATCTTGATTGAGATCTTACTTGGTCATGGTATTTTTAACCCCCTACCATGGAAAATTGACCCCCCCCCCCCCCTAGAGACCTAAGATTTTCATATCAACATAGCTTTAAAAAAATTCAAAAAAAAGATAATGCTTAGTTACATTTTTGGTAAGAATAAAACATGTTGGAAAAGATTTTTTAATGTTTTTGTCGAGCCTGCGACTTTTGTCGCAGAAAGCTCGACATAGGGAAAGTGATCAGGCGGCGGCAGTGTTAGCTAACTTCTTATAAGCTTTATATTTTAGAAGGTGGAGATCTGGATGCTTCATACTTTGTATATGGATGCCTCATGTTACGAAGTTTCCGTCAGTCACATGTCCATTGTCCTTGACCTCATTTTCATGGTTCAGTGACTACTTGAAAAAAAAGTTAACATTTTTTGTAATGTTAAATTCCCACTAATTATAAGTAGTAGGATAACTATATTTGGTATGTGCGTACCTTGCAAGGTCCTCATGCCCGTCAGACAGTTTTCACTTGACCTTAACCTCATTTCATGGATCAGTGAACAAGGTTAAGTTTTCGTGGTCAAGTCCATATCTCAGATACTATAAGCAATAGGTCAAGTATATTCGGTGTATGGAAGGACTGTAAGGTGTACATGTCCAACTGACAGGTGTCATCTGACCTTGACCTCATTTTAATGGTTCAGTGGTTATATCATTTGACCTTGACCTCATTTTCATGGTTCAGTGGTCAAAGTTAAGATTTTGAGTTTTGGTCTTTTTTTCTAATACTATATGCAATAGGTGAACTATATATAGTGTATGGAAATATTTTATGATCTATATATCAGTCTCGCAGGTTTTATTTGACCTTGACCTCATTTTCACAGTTCATTGCTCAGTTTTAAGTTTTTGTGTTTTGGTCTGTTTTTCTTAAACTATAAGCAATAGGTCAACTATATTTGTTGTATGGAAGAATTGTTAGCTGTACATGCCTGCCTGGCATGGTTCATCTGACCTTGACCTCATTTTCATGGTTCATTGGTCAATGTTTAGTTTTCTTGGTTAATGTTAAGTTTATGTGACAGTTGTAATAAAGCTTTATATTTAGGACTATCAACATAATATCAGTGATTAGTAAAGAAGGCGAGACGTTTCAGCGTGTGCACTCTTGTTTGCTTAACCATGGTATTTTGATCCCCTTTAAAGACCATATTTACAAAACCTCATTTATATTCAAACTATGTTACATAGGAATTATGCCTCAATAAGTATTTGTTATGAATAAAACATGTTGGAAAAGATGTAGTAAGATTTTTACATAGCCATTGTATTTTGACCCCCTACCAAGTAAAATTAACCCACCCATCCCCCTTTTGGCCTCAGATTTTCATATCACCATAACTATTCACGCTATTTTATATAGTAATAATGCCCCCAATGAGTATTTGGTCTGAATGAAAATATTCAAAAAGATGTTAAAATTTTTTTACTTAGCCCGATATTTTGACCCTCCTACCATGAAAAATTGAATTGCCTACTCGTCCCATTGTTCATTTGATATACTACAATACTTCTAATCAAACACAGGGGTTAAATATTACAAAGGGGTATTCAAATATCAATGAGGGAAAATTGTCCCCACTGTCAACTTCTCATATGGTGTTAAAAAATGTGTCCAATGATCCAGCCTGCCAACCAACTTGGCTGACTTAAAAAAACAGGGGTAAAAGGCAAGTTTTGTCTATTATCTTGGAAACTGTTAGAGACAGTATTATTTTTTTAAATCATAAGAATTAAAAACACTCATCTTTCACATCTTCTCTATGGCACATATATATTTTTTGGTCTTAGTACAAAATAAAATCATTTTATCTCTTCAAGTACAAAATAAAATCATTTTATCTCTTCAATCTACAATTGATACAAATGTGATTTACTCTTGGTATTGAAATGGCCTAAATTTCTTTATTTGACTCATTAAACACCATTTTTGTACCTGCTTTGAACATACCATCAGTTGCTGTAGTTGATGAAACACAGAACTGGATGAGGTTTACAGAATAGAGAATAATGGGCAAAAAGTTCAGAATAAAGGGCAAAACAAATTAAGAATAGAGAAAAATAGCCCCAAAAAATAAATAATAGAGATTAATGGTGTGATGAAATATAAAGAATAGAGTATAATGGTCAAAATAAATACAGAATAGAGAAAAATGGTTTTAAAAATAAAACAATATAATGAAATGAGGAAACCCCCCTCCCCCAGCCAGACTCTTAAGCAGCAATTAATCAATCAATCCAGAAACAAGATATTGAAAGTATCTAGTAACCTTTAAAAAATGCAATTCTTTTGTCAAATATTAAATTTCATTTTTTTCCTTTTTTTACAGAAAAACAAAGAGGAGAACAGAAAGAGAATCGGAAGAACTTCCCACAATTCCCAGTGGAATGGAAGTTTTGTCACCTCATAGGCCATCTAAAGGAAAGAAAAAGCCAAAGAAAACCCATTTTTACATTGATGAAGAAGAAACTGACCATCTTCTTGACAAGGACAAGCCGATAGAAATCGTGATAGAACCTCCAAGTAACTCTAGCTCCATGAATAATATAAGTGATGAGAGAGTGTAAAGAGACTAACTAATGGATATTCATCAGTGAGGGACTTTCTCATATGTTATGATGCCATTTCTATGAGTTTTCTCAGAAATGTAAAAAATTATTTTAGATTAAGACAGTTGAAAGCATTATTTTTATACGCCCGTTTACGGGACGTATTATTAAGATTGTGGGTATATATGTTGCAGCATACTGACAAAACCTCTCAGGTTTTGCATACAGTTACTTGTTTAAGTATATAATTCTATTATTTAATGAATTATTTAATTGCAATTAAATATAAAGTACATTTACAAATAGCAGGACAACTTTGAAAAGTCCATTTGAACGAACTGTAAATAAATCTCCTTGGACCATATTAGCAAAACATATTTTTCCAATTAAGACTCTTTTTTCCTCTGAAAACGAACTTAAAAAACCAGTAATCGGGTTTATCGATTTTTTGTAAATATGGTTCTCGGGTAAATGTATAGATAGGAATGATACTTTGCGATTATGTGTAGAAAAATAATTTGCGTGCTGTATTTTTCAATTAATAGTGTTTTGAGTGGGTAATGATCATTCATTTAATGTTATACATTTTCATTAGCAATTAGATAAATAGTCGATAACCATGTTAAAGAATAATTTATTTTGACACAGTTTGCATTATATTTGTATGAATTAAGCCATTTCATTTATGAATCTGTCATAACTATATATTCGTTTATTTTGTTGAGTTCTTAAATATGTACATTGACAATTAACTTGTAAGAGAACAAATAACCTTGACCTCCTGTTTATTGTTAAATTTAAAGTTATATTTGCAGATGAGTTTTACTATACCCTACTAATAGAGACAGGAATATATTGTAATCATCTTGACCTTGTGTTAGGTCAACAAATATTTTCATCACATTTTTCTAATGTACTACTTAACAGAATGACTTCATTTTGGTCAGTAGCTTGACAATGATTATTGAAAGGTGAACGCATTGTGGATCCATTAGATAACTATGTCCTATATTCATATACCTTGAATTAAGAATGAGAATATGCTGACAAAAAAAACAGCAATAAAAGAAATCCAGCATTACTTTTTTATTTGATATTTATACACTTACTTATAATCTATAATCCAATTTCTAATTCTAAGACTGAACTAAGATTGACTTCAATTTTGTGACAGTTTGATGTAGACGTTTGCAAAACATTCACTATTGGTCTGTGAGATCAAATTTGTTTTGTTGTAAAGCTGAAATGTTAAGAGAAAACTTTTAATTTCAGTGTTAGAGAAAAAAAAGTGACATGTAGTGGTCATTGCATAATGACTTGCCTTGGTGTTAATAGGTGTTTGAGTGAACAAGCTCTCAAAATGTTGATTATTTTCATTTGTTAAAATGTCTGTTGATACAGACAGTTAGTTATAAACTCTTATATTTGATGAAAGGAACTGCCAATTCTCCTTTTCAGAATCTAATGCATTCCGGGTAATATTTCCAAAAGTTTACACCAAAACATTGTGATTGGTTAAGGTCCATAAACAATTGAAATTCAACCAATGATGTGAAGTTATTTTCATTTTGGGGTACGAACATTAAAATTACCCATAGTCCTTTAAATTCTGAAACGGCCAATTGGGAATTGTCCGTAACAAGAAAACGGCCAATTTGGAATGTCCGTACCAAGAAAACGGCCAATTGGGAATGTCCGTAACAAGAAAACGGCCAATTGGGAATGTCCGTAACAAGAAAAAGACTTTCTAGATTAAGTCATGCGCATTGACAGAACAGAAACAATGAAAAATAAAATAGTACTATTTAAATGACATTGTTATAATGCTTATATTGTACAGATGCTTGTTTTGTTAACACACTTGAACTAATGTATCAATAAGTGGATACTGAGTATACACCCCATGAATTGTACAATATAGGCTTTGCCGAGTTTGGGTTGTAATTAAATTGTTTTACATGGATTGTAAATTATTACTTGAATCAAACTTTATTTATTGGGTAAAGTGTTGCAGTTGTATTGTTTTTCTTGATGACCTGAGTATGCACATTCTGTATGGATGCCTTAGTCAAACATAAGGGTAAAGAATGAAGAACTAACTATGCTTGAAATATTTGCCACTTTGCTGGCTTAGTTGGCAACATTGCCATTGTACTTTACGATGTATAAGTTTTACACAAGAAAAATTGAAAAATATGTGAGAAACAAATTCTCCCTCTGATTGCTCTCAAGTTACTATTTTTCTCTACTCTTGATAGTTAAATTAAAGATTTTAGCATCCTCACTACAGCTGGCATGTTAAAAAATTTAAATTTGATAAACTTGAATTGAGAATATCGTATCTTACACATAAAATAGAGAATCTATTTTTGATAACCTGCCTTACATCTTTTTGAACAGTAACTAACAGAGAATTTGAACATGAAATCCTTAGAACTTTCGTTTTTTTCAGTATTTGAAATCCATTTTCTTTTGTTAGAAATAACATTTTTTCTTTATGCTTTACTTTTGTCAAATTATAGTATTTATCATTATTTGTTAGTGTATGTGTATTGAATTGAATCATAATAGGGACATTGTGTATACATTTAATTGTAAAAACGATGTCTGCTTTTGTTTGCATTCTTTTCTATGTTTGTTGCATAATTTAAGCAATTTTAGAGATATTTTTATTTCCACCATTCATCCCACTGTTACAATTTATTTTGTATTTTTAATTTACAAATGTTCAGCATAATTATTTGTTTTGTAGAGTTAGCTTAGTCTTGTACTGACATGTTTATTCTGTGGAAGCCCTTTTTTTTAAAAAGGGGTTTTTATATACATAGAAGAAATAAAGTCCCAACTTTTAGGAAGAAATATAGTCCCAACCTTTAGAGCTGTAACCAAAGATCTCATCAAAGAGATTAAAACAAGATCAAATGTGTTTTCATCTTTATTTGAGCTGCATCGGAAGCAAACCAACCTTATGTAAAAAAAAAATTCACAAATTGACAAAGATTTTATTATAGCTACATAGACCTAAATTTTCATGATATTTGTTGCTAAATTTGATATTGTAAAAGTTGACACAATCTAATAAAAACTTAAATTTTGGGATGCACAATGGGAAATATTGGCTTTTTTGTCAGCTTACCTTTCAAGATTTTGGATTATAACACCATGCTGCATAGGGTTGATTTCTCTCTGACAAGGCTTTATAATAATGAGGGTATTTTTACAATTGAGATTTTTATTTATATTAGGGTATAATTTCCTTTTTTAGAAGATTTATAAATAAATGTTGAATAGCATTCTGCTTTATTTATCACATCCTATAACATGTCCCTTAAATTTTATTTTAAAAAAACTCTCGTTAAAATTTTCATTTTCTTCATCCTATAAGTTTTGTGCAAGTTACATAGAATTCTGATTTTCCATTATAAACTTTTCATTTATATGAAATTACCATTGAAACAGCTTTATAACAGAATTAACAGGAAAAAAAACCCCAAATCATCAAAAGTTGTAGTTCATTTACAAGATAATGTCAACATATTTCATTTTTCAGTTTCAAAATTTTGAATATTTTAACATGGTTTTTAGGTCCACTGTCTCAAATCTTATTTGATGATGTCTTGCACTGAAGAAATTTGATTGGATTCACACATCATGAAATTTCTTCATTAGGAATTGTATTTTAATGAACTGATACCATGGGTTCATCCTCCAATTAAACTTGAAATGATTTCATTGGTTCAATAAATAACTTCATAATATATCTGATGTACATTGTTGTCTATTGAAAAATAAAAAAACACAATATAAGTTATGATGTAGAAGTAGTGTCTTGAAATCATTTTCCTGAAAGGGATCGTGCAATTTTACTACAGTATTATATACTGTGAGCTACTAAATCCACTTGTTAGATTAAGTGATAGTGTTTTTGTCATGTTGGTTTAAGTGAAGGTTTTTACTTTTTTGATAAAGAGTTGTCTCTCTTGTAACAAGGGAAAACATCACTAAAAATTCATTATTCACCATCTGATGTTAACCAATTAGAATTGAGCTTTCTCCCATAAATCTGGTCAGGCACTGCATGTGGTAATATTTGTCAACAAGGGCCTGTCATTAAAAATTTAATTCGAAGATTGTAATTTGTATAATCATTTAAGACTGAATACCAAGCAGTCATTGTCTGATAACAATTTAAATAGAATTTTTTTAATTTGTGATTTTGTTCAAACGATGATGAATAGATAAACTACCAGCCTGTTGGCTTGCCTATAAGCATTTCATTGAAATCAAAATTTTGAATCTCAGGATTTTTAGAACTATAACAATGCAATGAAATTACTTGTATTTGTTAAATTCCTATTCACAAGGGAGCTATATAAAAGAAAAATCTACATCATTCAGACAACACATAAAGTCATATTTTCTGTTTTTCCTTGCTGGCTGAGAATTTTGTTTAAGTATAAGGATATGTATAACATTGTCATACACAAATATTTCAGGTTAACATTTAACTTGATTCATTTATCCTGTTACTTTGTGTAGCTATATGTGCAGTGCTAATTTATTGTTATTTTGTGTAGCTAAATGTGCAGTGCTCATTTATCCTGTTATTTTATGAAGCTTTACGTGCAGTGCTAATTTATTGTGTTGCTTTATGTGCATTATATATACTCAGCTTTTTCTGTGTCTACTCTTCTGTTTATTGCTTAGTCAAAAATTTAAGTTTTTGTCTGTATTATTTGTTGTATCAAGCTAAATTGAGTTGACTCCCTTGTCTAAAATCATTTTTATTTATACTGGCCTATATTGATCAATATTTATTACCTTAAATTGAAAATATTGGAGAATTTTAAACAGTGTTTAAATATTCTCAAATAATGTTTCTGACTAATAACAAAAATGTCTCCAATATCCACTCATTTGTCATCCTAAACTACATGAAATATTTGCCACTGGATGTTAAGCAACCAATCGATCAATGCAACTCATTTGACAGACAGTCTTGGTGGCCAAGTGGTCTAAGTAGTTCATTTACAGTGATCCGTAGCCTGTCAACACTGAGGTTGTGAGTTTGAACCCCGCTTGTGATGAGGTGTGTTCATCCTGGTCTTAAGGTGGTACATAACACTTCAGGGAGATAACTCTGTAAAAATCAGCTGAACATTTAAATCGCCTTCTATTGTTAAAGAAATATTAAGCTTCTCGATGATCAAAATTAGTGTTTGTGTGTGTGTGTCAAACTGCTATATATCCAATATAATTTTTTCCGATAAAGTGTGTGGTTCAAGTTTTTTGAAATTTTTGTATTTTTGTCAAAGGGTCAAAGTTAATATTTTGTCAAAATTTTATGATAATTTAACTAGCCAAATTAATTTTAGTTAAGAAGTTTGGGTATCACCTTAATTGACTAGGATTGCTAGTGGTCAAGGTCATGGTCCTCTTAGAGCACTGTAGCTTCCCCATCAATAAAACTGGCCGCCATGATATAGCCAAGTGTGCTGAAAGTGGTGATAAACACAAACAATCACAATCAATTATTTGATAAATGTCCTGAAACCAGTGTCACCAATTAATCATTTGATGTGATAGTTCTGTTGTTTCACAGGCTATTTGAAATGACAAATTAGTTGATAATCCACATCAAATGGGAAGAACCAGATCCAGACATAAATGAAAGTACTGAGTGCCTGTTTATGATCTTATAAAGCCATGAAAATTTAGATTGTCTTCCATTGTAACTCTTTTGAGAATTCAAGGGAGACAATCTGAAATAAAATCTTTTAACATGTAGTCATATATTTGTATAAAGCCATAAGATAGTATGAAAATTTTGTTTTAATAATGTTTTGTAGAATTTTATTTTTACCTAATTTAATCAAATAGAAGTTCTATGTATAATACCCTTATATTACCTCAGTTTGGTGTGCTTTGTTAAAAAAAAAAGTAATATATTGATGTCTGTTTCTTTAACATCTGTTATAAGCTATGTTTTTGGCGTGATTGAAAAACTCAATCCTTTGTATAATGAACTAATGGAAGATATAGATTCTACCTCTTTGATTATGTTTTTTTTTTGTTCTCAAGATACATTGAGATAGTCAATTTTAAAATTTGAACATTTAACAATGGAGACAGGAGGATTATTATAATGAATTGGGTAAAATGGTAGAATCTTTTTCTTAAATGATTAAACAAAAAACTAATATTCAAAATAAACATGACCAGAAATCCCATGACACTATTTATGGTTTATTGGAAATTTATCCAACTGGTCAAAAGGGGTTTAAATGGACAAAGAATTAGAGAAACTGTGGCAATTGAATTGTATTTGAATTGACCTTACGTAATAGTCTAGTGGATGATATCATTTCCTAATAAGGGTTGGTTTATATTTTTTTTTTCATTGTCACCAGTTGACACATTGTCTATAATAAATTGATTACCAATATGTCACCTCACAAGAAAGGCATGCCTCAAATATCTTAACACTTATCAGTCCAGCCAATTGACCAGACTCAACAACTTTTCTTATTTTTTTTTTCTCCAATTTCTAAATAAATAATTAAAATTTGTTTTTTGTTGTGTTTGTACAATTTTTTCTGATTTAGTTCTATTTTTTTAGGAGGAAGGGGGGGGGGGGGGATATGTAATACATTATCTATTATTATCCTCTAAACACGAATTAAAAGTCTAAATCTTCTCTGGTATACTATGCCTCGTTTTCTGGAACCTTTATTTATATGCCTGTTTTTTAAAACAAACAAATTCAGAGATCTAATATTTCCAAAGCTATAATTAGCCAAACTCATTTTTCTACAGATTGCCACTGGTGGTATGATGTGGAATAGTTTATATAACTACATGAGGATTTTTTTACTTTAATCCAGAAATCCTCAATCCTCAGTATGCAGCAACTGATTTTTTTTTTTTTTTTATTTTATCAAATATTCTTGTTCAGACTTCGGATACCAACTTTTAAAATTTTTTACTTAAAAAAAGTCCCATTTACATCTCAGTATGATTTATATACGATAATTTCCATTCAAACATTACTCATATATTCTGCATTATTCAGGATACCAACTGTTTGAACTTTTTTATTAAAGAAAGTCCCATTTACGTCTTGGTATGTTTTATGTCAGATAATTTCCATACAAACATCAGATTTAATTCATATATTCTGCATATTATGTAAGAATAGAGATTGTAAGGTTATTGCATAATTCCATAAAAATAGACTTGCTATATTTAGTGATGATGTAATATAATTTCACTGTGATTGTGTGATACGGTGTATATTTTAGGTCACTGTGATTATTGTAATTTAGAAATTTGATTTTAGACAGGTTGCTTTATGTTATCAAATAAAGTTTTATTATATAATTGTTATTTTTACAGGGCCTCTTCAGTGGCCACATGGTCTAAGTAAGTAGTCTATCGACTGTATCAGTCCATCCAATTTTTCAGACTCCACAACTTTTCTTATTAGCTCACCAGGGCCCCATGTGAGCTTATGCCATCACTTGGCGTCCGTCTCCATCGTCGTCGTAAACAATTTCAAAAATCTTCTCCTCTGAAACTACTAGGCCAAATACCTTCAAACTTTAACTAAATGTTCCTTAGGGTATCTAGTTTATAAATTGTATCCAAACTTTTGATCCATCGACAAACATGGCCGCCATAAAAATAGAACATAGGGGTCAAATGCAGATTTTGGCTTATATCTCAAAAACTAAAGCTTTTAGAGCAAATGTGACATGGAGTAAAATTGTTCAGTTGGTCAAGATCTATCAGCTCTGAAATTTTCAGACGAATCGAACAACCCATTGTTGGGTAGCTGCTACAGAATTGGTAGTTTTAACAAAATTTTGCAGTTTTTGTCGAGCCTGCGACTTTTGTCGCAGAAAGCTCGACATAGGGATAGTGATCTGGCAGCGGCGGCGTTAGCTAACTTCTTAAAAGCTTTATATTTTAGAAGGTAGAAGACCTGGATGCTTCATACTTCGTATATGGATGCCTTATGTTACGAAGTTTCCATCTGTCACATGTCCATTGTCCTTGACCTCATTTTCATGGTTCAGTGACTACTTGAAAAAAAGTTAACATTTTTTGTAATGTTAATTTCTCTCTTATTATGAGTAATAGGATAACTATATTTGGTATGTGTGTACCTTGCAAGGTCCTCATGCCTGTCAGACAGTTTTCGCTTGACCTCGACCTCGTTTCATGGATCAGTGAACAAGGTTAAGTTTTGGTGGTCAAGTCCATATCTCAGATACTAGAAGCAATAGGTCTAGCATATTAGGAGTATGGAAGGACTGTAAGGTGTACATGTCCAACTGGCAGGTGTCATCTGACCTTGACCTCATTTTCATGGTTCAGTTGTTATAGTTAAGTTTTTGTGTTTTGGTCTGTTTTTCTTATACTGTATGCAATAGGTCTACTATATTTGGTGTATGGAATGATTGTATACTATATTTGGTGTATGGAATGATTGTATACTATATTTGGTGTATGGAATGATTGTAAGGTGTACATGTCTAGCTGGCAGGTGTCTTCTGACCTTGACCTCATTTTCATGGTTCAGTGGTCAAAGTCAAGTTTTTGAGTTTTGGTCTTTTTTTCTAATACTATATGCAATAGGTCAACTGTATTTGGTGTATGGAAATATTTTATGATGTACATGTCTGTCTTGCAGGTTTTATTTGACCTTGACCTCATTTTCACTGTTCATTGCTCAGTGTTAAGTTTTTGTGTTTTGGTCTATTTTTCTAATACTATAAGCAATAGGTCAACTATATTTGTTGTATGGAGGGATTGCAAGCTGTATATGTCTGCCTGGCATGGTTCATCTGACCTTGACCTCATTTTCATGGTTCATTGGTCAATGTTTAGTTTTCTTGGTTAAGTCTGTAACTTGGAAACTATAAGCAATAGGTCAACTATATTTAGTGTATTGAATGATTGTAAGGTGTACATGTATTTCTTGTTTGGTTTATATGACCTTGACCTCATTTTCTTGGATAGCTTTATATTTAGGACTATCAACATAATATCAATGATTAGTAAAGAAGGCGAGACATTTCAGTGTGTGCACTCTTGTTTGTTATTATTTTGAATATTATTATAGATATATATAAACTGTAAGCAGCAATAATGTTCAGCAAAGTAAGATCTACAAAAAAGTTAATATGACCATAATTGTCAATTGACCACTTAAGGAGTTATTGCCCTTTAAAGACAATTTTACACAATTTGTTCATCAAGTTTGCTAACATTTAAAAATCTTCTCTGAAATACAGGTGAGCGATTCAGGCTCTTGAGAGCCTCTTGTTTTTTTGTGTCAACACTGAGATTGTGAGTTCTAAACCTTGCACATCACAGCTGTTTAAAACTCAAAACAATGATTGTCACATTTTTCCTGCCAAATGTTGGTGGTTCTCCTTCACTCCAGCTTCCCCCAACAATAAAAGAAGACAGCCACGATATTGCCAATAGTGCTGAAAGTGCTATTAATCACTAACAATCAATTAATAATGTTATTTTTATGAGCATATTTAAAGGGTGTGCTCCCTGAAATTGACAAAAACGTTTAACATTAGCAGTTTTGATATAAGTGCAAGATGTACCTGCCTTCAGCAGTCATTGTAAAAGGATAAAATTTCTTATAATTTTGTAACAACAAAAGGGAGAAAAGCATGGCAAGAACGACTACCCCTTTCAGAACTTCTAATATAAACTGTGTTGGAGTTTGTATCATCTAGCAAATAGAAAGCCAAATATTAGTGTGAACAAAAAGTAATGTTCAGGCAGTTTAAAGGTAAACCGGATAGTCAGGATGCTTGTAAGGCCAGCAAATAATTGTCAGAAAGTCTCAAGGTATTTTGTACCTTCAAATAGTAAAGCATTTTTGACAACCTAAGCTAATCTTAAGTCATTTTAAAGTAAAGCAGATAGTCTTAATTTGTTATCTGCAAAAATGAAACATGGTAGTCTACATATTTTGACCCTGCAAAAACAAAACTAAATAGCCTTCACTTATGTTCAGTTTGCAAAACATGTCAGTGATGAGATCATTTTTAGCTCACCTGATCTGAAGGGTCAAGTGGTCTTCATCACTAGGTGTCCATCATTGTCCATCTAATGGCATCATCCATTAACTTTTACAAAATTCTGATCTGTAACTACTGGCCCAATTGGAATCGGGGACTTTCTTAACTATACTGTAGAAAGTCCCTGTTTGAATCAAACTTGGATACAATCATCATTGCTGTATCGCGTTCAAAAAATGTGTTTTAAAAATGATCCTACCTGCTAACCAACACGGCTGACGGCTTATAAAAGAACATCGCTAAAAATGCTAGTTTTGACCTTTGTCTAGAAAATCACTTTAGATAGAGAAATCTGACAGAGTCAGAAATGTTCAGAGCTTTTAGATCTACCACTGTCCTTTCATAATAAATCTCCAGAAATACATCTTATAGGAGTTATTGCCCTTAAAGAATGAAATTCAATTTTACATAAAAAAATTATCTACAAAAAAAATCAAACTAGCTGAAATGATCAATTGACTCCTTATTGGAGGAATTGTCCTTTAATGACGATTTTTACCATTTTTGCGTTTTACTTATTGCCTGGAAAATCATTATAGATAGATAGCCAAATCCATCTAATGGTAACTTATTTATTATGAACTTTCAATGTTATTTTCAACCCAGTTTGTTTGTCTCGTCTGTGACGTATTATGTGCAAAGCAAGACTAATGTCCTTACATTTTCGACGATGATAAAGTTGACGGATCGTTGTAAAGCGTCCAGTGGCAAAATATTTGATTTTATATTCAATCAACAGAATGACATCAATGATGAACGCTCGTCGAGGGCCTGTAGTTCGCTGGTTGTCGTTGGTTCATGTCTGTCATGTTTGTTTTTCGTAAATGTTTTGTTATAAATTAGGCCGTTAGTTTTCTCATTTGAATTGTTTCCGATGATATTTTTCATGTCGGGGCCTTTTATAGCCGACTATACGGTATGGGTTTTTTCATTGTTGAAGGCCATACGGTTGCCTATAATTGCTTACATCCGCTTTATTTGAACTTGGATGGATAGTGGTCTCATTGGCAATCATACCTCATCTCCTTAATTTTACACTCTGACTAGAAGTTAACTTCGAACTAGAAATCACTTACTCCATGTTCGAACCGTATAAATATTGAATTAACTCAATTTTCAGACTAAGCCATTGCACGGGGGCCATTTACTGTATAAAGACTGGTAGTGATGAACCGCTGGAATATGTCACTTTTTCAAACACCTTCACTGTACGAAAGCAGGGGCGTATCCAGTCATTTTTGAAAGGGGGTTCCAACCATATGTCCCCATTCAAAAGCATTGATCGCCAAAAAGGGGGGTTGCAACCCCCGGAACCCCCCCCCCCCCCCCCCCCCCCCCTCTCTCTGAATCCGCCACTGGATAGGGTCGAGAAATTAAGATGAAAGATATGGCAAGGTTGCTGCTTGAATCATTAGTATCTGAAACTAATAAGATGTCGAGTTTTGTCTAAGTTGCGATTGACACTCACGGCAGTCGTAAATTCATCAGATATTATAATTTAGTCAAATATATTTATCTATCCATGAAATAGCGTAAGTATGATATATAAGTAGAGTTTTTGTTTAAAAAAAATATATGATAATATACGTATTTGTGTTACCCCCCGCGAGGGCCATTATGTATGATAATGTACGTATTTGTGTTACCCCCCGCAAGGGGCATTATATATTATAATATACGTATTTGTGTTATCCCCGCGAGGGGCATTATAAATGATAATGTACGTATTTGTGTTTCCCCCCGCGAGGGGCATTATATATTATAATATACGTATTTGTGTTATCCCCGCGAGGGGCATTATATATGATAATGTACGTATTTGTGTTACTCCCCGCGAGGGGCATTATGTATGATAATGTACGTATTTGTGTTACCCCCCGCGAGGGGCATTATATATGATAATGTACGTATTTGTGGTACCCCCCGCGAGGGCCATTATATATGATAATGTACGTATTTGTGTTACCCCCACGAGGGGCATTATGTATGATAATGTACGTATTTGTGTTACCCCCCGCGAGGGCCATTATGTATGATAATGTACGTATTTGTGTTACCGCCCGCGAGGGGCATTATGTATGGTAATATACGTATTTGTGTTACCCCCCGCGAGGACCATTATGTATGATAATATATGTATTTGTGTTACCCCCCGCGAGGGGCATTATTTATTATAATATACGTATTTGTGTTACCCCCCGCGAGGGGCATTATATATTATAATATACGTATTTGTGTTACCCCCGCGAGGGCCATTATGTATGATAATGT